TTCCTATAATGACAGTCTGGTGTACTGTCCTGTGTACATACCAGCCGAGCAAGATGTCCCCGGTTCCCAATCTATCGGCACATATTTTGAGATCTTAGCTATTTCCTTTACTCTTCACAAATGCCCCGCCCTCGGGGCTGGGGGATATATCACCCCATTATAGGCTGCTTCAGTGATCCTCGACCAGGTTTCAGTGGAACATAACATAACTGTTTTGACAAGAGGACGAGATCGATGAAGAAATCAATAAGTACTCCCTGTGATCTTACATCGGAGAGGTCAGTGGTCCCCAGACATGCCATGTGTAATTGAAGTCTCTGGATGAATGACAGGCTGGAGGGATGGGAGGGGTGTGGGGCAATGGCGAGGATACTTTCAAAGATGTTGTCAGGGATGTAGGACCTAGAAGGATGTACCTAACAAATAGAACGTGGTAGACGTGTTTTATTAGAGACAAGAAACTTCAAGATGACAATTGTGTTCGTCCAGTACGCAGAAATCGGGACCTATCATGGACGTCATCAAACGCTTCTGTACATTGGAATATATTGTTCCTGTTAAAATAATAGTTTCGGGTTCACTTTCCTCAAACGATTCTTCTTTGACTGAATCTTCTGTAGATCTGGGATGTAATTGCAAAGAGTGACACATTAACAAAAGAGCTTTCTCCTTCTTCTGGAACATTTCTTCATCACATTGCAACTTCCGGCTAAGTATACAAGACAATCACACGGGTATATCTCATACAACTGAAATGGAAAAGCATCATGTCTGTCTGTTTTCATTCACATTTTTATTGACCAACTTTCGTATCATCTATTTGTTCACACAGAGCGACACGGTGTAATTTTTCATGATTCACAACAGCAGAAGCGATTTGTCGAGAATTATTCTCGAGAATTATTGTCGAAAATAATTCTCGACAAATCGCTTCTGCTGTTATAAAACGTAAAGTTATAAAAAGATGTCGGTATCACGTTTCCTTGGTGACGAAGCATGACAAAGACTGTCATTGTCGAGCGGGGATGACAATCTAGTAATTAATGTATTATGGCCTTACTGAAATATCATGTGCACAAAAGGGCTATAATTATCCCTCATTGAAAGCCAAGACAGTCACTGTTATGTGTGATTAGAACAGACCGACAGGTGGGCACGGGTGTTAGGTTTACATAATGCCAGATGTTGAGAGATAATAGTCGTGACGTAAGCCTCCAATACAAGACATGATACAGCTGGCGACTGATCGGAAGTGTGTAATCAACAACCTGTTAACGCCGTTCAACAATCAGCATGATGAAATTGCTCAATTCAAGAACGACGCATATTATGCAATGGCCAACCATTTGACTGTCAGATCGTGTACAATCGATCACACTGTATTAGAACCTGGCCGTGGGCGACAACATTTACCTAATTTCATGGACCTTTATGAACCGAAATTGTTCGTTTTCGTGCAGACTGGCACCGGTCTATTTTCTCACGTCGAACTACGGCCAGTGTGAAGCAAAGTCGCTGTATTGTAATAAAATATCTTTCCTTTTATACAAATAGCCACATTGGCATCACCGTGCATACGAGTACATTACGAGACTTTTGTTTATGCTGCTTCAGTTACATCACGGCGTGTGACGTTGATGTAGGAGCGGTGGGGTAGCCCAGTGGTTAAAACGTGGCTCGTCACGCCGAAGACCCGGGTTCGATTCCGTAATGTGTGAAGACCATTGCTGGTGTCCCCCGCCGTCATATAGCTGGAATATTGCTAAAAGCGGCGTAAAATTAAACTCATTCAGTCACTTTGCTGTAGGAAGAAAGATCGAAGTGACCTAGGTCTCTGACGTTAGTACTTTGGTGAAACCCACAAGCACTGGTATGGTACCGTGACTACCGTCAAACTTAGAAACATATAATTATGTTAATGTGGACAAACAGAGATTCGAACCTACGTCCATATCATATTCTGGCATGTATCAGGGACCTTCATTAACCAATAATGAACATGTCATTTCCAATATGGTGTTGGCTTACTTCAAGCTGACAATATGGCAACGAATGAAAATTTAATTATTGATGTACTAGTAATACTGAACTAATTCTGAATAAATAATGTCATGTGGTCGGCTAAAAGTGCATGTATGAGCTATAATAAAAGTGGTGCGTCATTGGAGAATCAGTCATAAAACCTAACTATAAGATTAACTCAGTTTAAGTTTAAATTTGCAGCGGGATGTTTACTTCAAGCATCAGATGAATATATAATCTGACATCATTCAATAATGGTTTACTATTGAGCTCCCTTCCGCTAAAATACTGATCTAGAAATAAAAATGCAAGTAAAACCATCTCATCTGTTTCATATTTAGATCTGGCATTTTAGAAATTGATGAATAATTAGAAAGGTTCGATACGTTATGGACAACAATTTCTTTATCCATAATGTATCGTACCTCTCTTGTTATAACAGTCGAGGCCCCAGTAAAACTTTCAAAAGGTTTTCATGGTAGATACTTGGAGGGCATTTCAACATTTGACAAAAAAAGTTAGGCTATGCAATTCCCTATTTTGACTTTTACCATGTGTTCACATGTTTTCTGTGAACACCTGACTTGCCTTTGCACGTGTTTGTGACCGATGCAACAGATGGGTCACCTGTATGCGAATACCTGTATAATGTGACAGTGATACAAACAAGATTATGACATAGTCGGAATCGTATAATGAACTATGCTTGAAGCACATTTTCTTATCACGAAGGGAAAAAGAAAATGGTTTTGTGGCTTTCATTTGCTAAATGAACTTTACAATAGATACCAAGGACCATACATGTGAATGTTGTAGCATAATGAAAACCAACAAAATCATGACCCTTTGGTCTTTTGTGTCATAATAGATCTGATAACTCCTGTTTGTCAGGGCTAAACTGGAATCGGTAGTCAGGCTCGTTCAGTTTGCTGATTGTATCATCCCACAGCGTCAGCGTGTAGAGTTACCTGTAGATTAGCCTGAATGTCAACAAAGACGCATTTCATTGGTTTCATGTCAGTGGTATTTAGCATAGGCATGGAGTACTGATTTGCGGCGTTAAACAGTATGTACTGACTTTTAGTGCACACTTTGTGAATCGTGGGTTTTATCAGTGAAGCTAGATATACGTATGCACACCAGAAATGGGCTTCACAAATTGTACCCATGAGGGGAATGGACTAGTCTGAATGTTCTATAACCATATCCTGTTTTATTTGTTTACAGTAGTGCTGGTGGGTTGCTAAAAGTGCCCTCGTGTTTGTATAGCTATAAATAAACAAACTATAGACGTAAATACATTTGTTGACATAGCTAAAATGTTTACGCCTCTGTGCAGGTGGTGTATAATTACTGTTACACAATAGCACAGTCATTAATGTGCCCACAATGTCCTCTTGTATTTTATTGTACTGATGGTATTTGAGGCCTAAACTAATATACAGAGCCAAAGAAGTTAGAATCATGACTATTTTTAGAGATGTTTTTGCAGTGAAGACCGAACAAACAATTTCATGTTGATAATAATATCCTCCCAAACTATTCATGATCCTGAATTTTATTTGGTCAGTATACATTTCCCATTGTCATATCATCTTCCCTAAAGCATCTTCTCTATGGTTTCAATAGACACTCCAATACTTTACAGAAGGTGTACGCGAGACCAGGTGATAGGCCAAATTGGCCCTCGCTGTCTCGAAACCCATTTGTCCCTGGTCAAGTCACCATTAATTGATAAGTTGCTTTGTTGTGACGATGTCCCGCAGAGGAGGGGCGGTCGATACTACTTACGCTTAAACGTAATTGCACTTTTATTACAACTCTGGTCGCAGTCGGCATATTGTATTGCTATCAAGTCATGGCAGATCCATGAAGGTGAACGTGTAGACCGATTGATATGCTGAACGTCATGGGTTAGACATAAACAGTTGAGTTTCAAACGCCACCATGTCAATAACGACAGACACGGCTCTTTTAATTTCTTTTTTGTATTTGGAAAACCGATAGGTCACGACGTGGGGAAAATGTATGCATTTGCTGTCCCAAAATGACTCCGAGTTCTATGTTAAGAAGCTTAACGGATTATAATTAACAATTAGAAAACAAACGCAACCACCTCCGTTTCAAACGCATGATATGACCGATTCCGAAAAGTCGAATGAACTATCTTAACTCAAAAATTCAAATTTATAAAAAAAACAATAGCTGCTTTGAGAAGAGGGATTTTTTTATACACCAATTATCCCATATCTACCTCGGGCGTGATGATTTGGAGATGAACAAAGCTTTGAAAGAACAGACATCTCTTCAGTGAAATTATTTTTGTTTATTTCCAAGCATGTTAAAGCAGGCTGGTGCTACTCACATGCACGATGAATGTTCTACTCGAGGTCTATATTGTTCTTCGAAATTCACAGTCCATTTATAACAGTTCATTATACCTTTAACAAACAAGATAAACCTAACAACACGGAAATGTTTGTCTGTACGACCGTGAGGTGTTGGCTTTATGTCGATCATTAATGATTTATCAAATCTCTGCGCTATTGTCTGGTCTTTTCAGTGTTACCTCAACGGACGAGATATAGCAATTGGCCCCGGGCGGCAATCGTTCACGCACAAGACTTCCCTGCTAAATTTAATTACTAGTGAAATCGATTAAAAGCATTCTTAGGTGGGGAGCATAATAGCCAAAGTAAGTTGTATATGGTGGGAAATTGCATGAGATACTGTCTTGGGGTACCACAATTCTAGACGATCGGCAACAGGACGATTCTTGAAGGAGGACTTAACGAAACAAGGAGACATACTCCCAGTTTCATCAATCTGCAGCCCAGACCCATCTTCGGGTGCATCTGTAGTGTCAAGCGGCGTTCTGTTGTCCGCGGAATTTTCCCAATAATCCCAATCGATCTGCCATTATGGCCGCCGTTTCCTAGGATGTGACGTCAAACAACCACGTGACCAGAAATTGTTATCGATCGCGCGCCATCACCGCGCGAAGGCAAGCGAATATTTTATTAGGTGCTTTTTGCCAAGAACGACCAGGTCGGGGATTCAAGCAGAGGAAAGGAACATCAGATATTGAAGTAGGAACACCGAAAACAGCACCTGAAGATTGTTGTTGGAAACACAAGAAGGACAGACCGGAATTGAGGGCGTACTGTTTGAAATGGTTAATTTTCAGTCATGGAGAACTAGACGATTTCTGGGAATATTGGTAACATTGGCTCTAGTCCTTCCAGAGCTGGTCGTATGTAAGGAGGTCGAAGTGCTTACTAACTCCTGGCTAGTGGAGCTTGAGGCCCCTGGAGGAGCAAGAGTCGCCAGAGATGTAGCAAAGAGAACAGGATTTACCTATGTGTCTCCGGTAGGTAACTGTGGTTCATGGGATCTTCTCTTCTTGTCAAGTGGCCGTGGTGATGGTCAACGATGGTTGTTGTGGTCGATGCGAGTTTGGAAGGCCAGTAGTGCCCATTCCATTCTTGCTAGAGCTTGGTTGATACTGTAGCACGTATATCTGTACGCTTATTACTAGTTCTGAAATCGCTATCTATAGATATGTGAAATGTTGACTGAATCAATGCATTTATTGACTTATTTCATATTGTCAAAATGTATAATCTATGACAAATGGGTTTACTTTGACATGAGATTGTTGGAAAGATGACGTTTTACGGCATGTTTGTATCGTATTTTTACGTTTTCAAATAGTCATCTGCAGCTGAATATTGGAAAATATCTATTTCAGAATGGAGAATATACCATATAGAGTATTCATTAAGCATCGCCATATGATTACACAGGTCTTGCTCTTACCCTGACAGAGTAATCAGATATAGTACTTTTTTGTAAGTCATTGGTGGTGGTCACAAAGGGGTGTTAGCACAGGCGAGAAATTAAAATTGAACCTTTGTACCAAACAAGTTGGCTCTAAAACACCTTGCAATTATGTATTTTTGTATTTGTAGAGTATGAAATGGTTGGTCCCTTAGCACCTCCAGATATTGTATCCCAACTACGTCATCAAGCGGAATCGTTAGATTCGATGATGGCACCAAAACAAGAGCCCTCGAATCCTATCGATGTTTTCACACTTACTGTGCAGGTGCTTAAACGTACATCACTCAACGCACACGGCACGTCATGACTCACGGGTTAATACACGTCTAACAAACGTGACGTGGACGGTGTTTCACCTCTCTAAGGACCTGTAGCGGCATGTCGATCAGAACTTGTGCTATAGGCGTACACTCGGCATTAGTAGTATATTACATCACATACCATTAAATCTGTTAATATAATACTGGTGTCGCCACTATCAGAAAATTAGAAAAATTATAATTTTTACTTGATGTGTCGGGCAAAAGAAAGTTTCAACTGGTACTTGGGTTAAACCGAACTATCTGAAAGTTTAACAAAACCTTATTGAGCTGACACGGTAAGACAAGAGTAATGTTCAGGTTCAAAACGCAACTATGATATTCGTATTAAAATACATCACCACCATTAACATTCCTTGCTTGATTTATGCTTAGCCATTGTCGATCATGGACGTGTACTGTTTAGTAAGGTAGTTAAGCTTTGTGACATATGGCGATTTGGAGAAGTTGGAATTATCAAAATAGTCATCACTTGGTGACCTTTGTGATCTCTCAATCATGACTGAGTGTTGGTTATCGCTTCCCGTTTTGTCTAGATATTTCTCATATTTCCTATTTCTGATATGCATATGAACACTTCTGTGGTATGGCTGTACGTTGTTTTGTAGCCAATATTCAGTAAACTACGATTTATGAGATTCCCGTCACTGGGTTTCATAACGAAAGCTTCTTCTGGAACAGGTAAATTAGTCCTTACCACGTGAAACCCTGTTAATCCAGATGGCACAATCCCAACTAAAGCACCCGTGTTAACAGACAGGTATTGCCACTGACCTGGTCCCTGTTTCACAAAGCTATCGTAGCTACGACTGTCGTAAGTCTATGTGACATTATAGGAGTTACGACAGCCGGACCGCTACGATAGCTTTGTGAAACGGAGCCCTATACAAAACATGTTATTGAATCGAACTCATGGTGTTTGTATTTGCAATATGTCAGATTGGGAATGAAAAACAAACCTTTTTATAAGTTGATCTCAACAAAATGACAGAAGAAAACGAGTTTACAGTTTCATTGCATTTCATCTGACAAAACAAAGTCATTATCTTACGTTTCGTTTTTATCAAAGTTAAAGATATCCTCTCTTTAATTATAATTGCTTTGTCCTTTAAAAAGGTTAGCCATGAACAACCTATACTATATATGTTTCTGCCTTAAAATGGCCAAATAATAGTATTTCTTTTTTAATTTCTCTATGATCAAAGATGGAACTGATCTTTCTTCATTTTTAAATATATTTTATTTCCCTCACGATATATCGAAATTATGTTATTGTCCATCTAGACATTCTAAATGCCAATTTCTATTTTAGTCAAATTCATAACATTTCCAGATTACACATAATTGGGAAGCTGTATATTATTACAGCAACTCCCACGACATTCTGGCCATAATGTTCTAGATACACCACAACATTTAAACATATCACGTCAATATTTACCGGCGCCAATTATTCAGAAATCAGATTCTATCTCATACTTCATTATCTCAGTCAGTTCAATCTCATGTACAGAGTGGCAGGCATCCTTGCATTCTCAAGACATGGTAACATGAGTGCGACTATTCACATCTCCCGTCGGCTGTAGAATATTCACGTATCTCCCGTCGGTTGTACAATATTCACATATATCTCATCAGCTGTAGAATATTTACATATCTCCGGTCGACTGTAGAATATTCACGTATCACTCGTAAGCTGTAGAATGTTCACATATACATCGTCGGCTGTAGAATATTTACATATCTCCCGTCGACTGTAGAATATTCACGTATCACTCGTCAGCTGTAGAATATTCACATATATATCGTCAGCTGTAGAATATTTACATATCTCCCGTCGACTGTAGAATATTCACATATATATACATATTTCCCCTGTCAGCTGTAGTGTATTCTCCCGACAGCTTTAATTGTAGTCTATTCACACATCACCTTTCATCTGTTGGTTGTTCGCATTTCTCGAGTCAACTGTTGATTGTTGAGATTTTCTTATTTCTCCCACCAAGTGCTGTATCATAAAATACATTTTACACACAATCTAATGGAGAGAACTAACATACATAAGTTTGAAAACTGCATGTTACATTGTATCATTTTACGTGAACAAACATTCTTCTGTTGTTAACATAAGATATTTAAACACCACCAATAGCATCACTTACTATAAAATATGATATGCCGAAACAGCTTTAGGAAATTTAATGGAAAATAGGATTTTCAAGATCGGAAATGCCTTTAGGCTCATATTTGATTGTAAATGAAAACTGGAAATTACACAAAAGCAGGAATTAATGTATAATATTTTGAGCTGACAATTAGCCTGATTTGTTGTCTCAATACCATTATTTATATACTACTATTTACAGCTAAATGTGATCAGCCAATTTTCCACAACGATCGCTATGCAAATAGGAGGTTTGTCTGTCAACTACTTGCTATGCACAAACAGGCCATACCTTCCCGGACAAACAGTAAATTGCCCGCTATTATGACGAAGTCTAGGATATCGCTTGCCTCGCATTTAAACCCTGCCGTGTTGCCTAACACTGGAGCAGTTCTAGGGTGGCGGTATGACGACTATTTACTTTCATTTCCAAATTGTACATAATTAATAATGTGCGTCACCGAGGAAAACGTTTCCGTAAGCGTGTTATAAACACTTTCAAATTTGCATTGTGCTTGTCTCCGGGTATTGGTTTGTTTCTTCGTCATCAATAATTCACTCATTTAAAAAATAATTATGTTCGTTGTGACATATTTCTGAATCCCTAATATATGAAGCTTTTTCAAACTATGTGAATATTTATCTTTTTATTCGGTTCTATTGTATGTCAAAGGTTCATTTGTTTTTTATTCATTCGATAAACTTCACTCTTTTGGGGGGGATTTCAGTCTTTTCATTGAGTTTCGATGACGTTTGAAATGTCCAAAATTCATAAAACCTTACTTGAAATGTTGATTGACATAAAGAAATACAAGTAGCCAATTAAATGCCACTGAACCTGAACGCTCCAGTTCTGTAAGTACTGTTAGGTTTACTGTGCCGTAGACGTGTAAGGAAGTGCTAGTCTGGGGTTCGAATCCCAGCTTCGACTCAGTTTTGATATCCACTTAGCTTATAACGGTGCTATATATGAATAGCCTGCCGGACTGTGGTCATTCCCCAGACGATATGACATGTTATAATCAAACTGTTCAAAAACAGAGTAACATCGAGCACACTAACACACCAAGAGTGAGTGATTGAGTCGTGTTTGACGCCGTTTTGACCAGTATTCTAGTGAGGTGGGAAGTAAGCGTCGTCCATGACAAACCGGAAGTTCCTAGGTAGTAAGTACCAGCGAAAATGATGTAGGTTTTAGGGTTTTACTCGCTTTAATTAAGATTTTGAACCTAAATTATCGTTAAATCAGTATAAAATTCCTGATTTCAATCGCTGTAGCATTTTAGCAGACAAACAGACAGACAGACAGACGGACAGACAGACAGTTTTTATTTACCTCTCACCTCATAATATAAAATACAGACATAGAATTTATTTAAAAGTACAGCGAGCCACCCCAAAAAGGGTTATGAGAGACGATGTAAAACGAAATGACATAAGATATTTACATAAAATAGCAATATATTGCTTACCACAAAGTGCATTAAAAGTACATAGGATACTTAAATAAGTATACATTGTAAAGGTATTTGTTAAATATGAATTGTACACAAGGATTATAAAACCCAAGCATGTCAACACTCAATGATATTACTTTACTTTCAATGTTATCTGGCGTGATAGCAACGATTAGCGAAAACCTGGGCGTCTGACAGCGTGAACACATTATTTATTCAAACTAGTGTACGTTTGTGTTAAATTTAGTTTTACTCGGCTATTTTAGGATTTGTGTCAAGATATAACACGAGCTGATTGTATTTGATTGCGAAGAATTGTACTCTCACGGTTGTTAAAATGAATAAAACTGTCTGGGTAGGTAGTATGTGAACCGATTACACATTTAAACAATAACAGGATATTATGCAATAACCAAGAGCAGCTGAAAAGCCACTGTTACGAAATAACACTGAACACTATATCTTCACCGAATCGACACCGGTATAATGACTACAAGTAGTCAAAATTGACACAATTGCAGTTCCCAAGGAACCCACGTGCATATACCGGTTCGTACTAATGCATTACCGTTCTGAGATTTGTTAT